CTGAGTGTTATGTGAGTAACGACATTTACAAAGATTGATTGGTTGGAGGGTGGCAGGAAAGTTAAGAGAACTGCTTTTTTTGAGGCTGGGGGAAGAATGATTTAGGATTTAAAGTAGGTCTGGAAATTTTGATTCTTCTTTTACGTGTTTGTCCATTTGGACATCCTCACTAGGTGTGCATACACCATAGAAGTCAAGCTTGGAGACTTTATCCTACTACATGTATGGTGTACTATAGTCCAGCTTTCTTATGCCCTGCACAGAAGAGATAAAAGGAGGTGCACACTTTCTGCTTTGCAGTTCTTCTCAGCTGTCAGCTTAAGATCTCCTGGTCTATTCTCATGATTCTAGGGATTCGCGTTTGAATTGAACCTTTTTCAAGAGCTGCAAACCTGTGTGTCCTGTGTCCCGTCTCCCATTCCATTCCCCCCCCCCCCCCCCCCCATCTGAATATATTCCCTTTAAGATAAAAGTTTTGGGTTTTTTTCCTTTGGGTTTTTTTCTGTCATCTTTGGTTTGGTTTGTGTTCACCCCCACCATTTTCTCTGACATGGTGCTACCATCTTTGGGTATTGTACCCAGTTTTGCTATTCTCTTATCTATCTTTTCACCAGGAAAAGTTCTTGCCCTTCCATTGTCTCAAGATGGATGACTTGGGGGGTGGGAGGGGGGGAGGCGTGGGGGTTCCTGGGCTTAATGGAGCATCTGGCTTGGGCTCTTCATATCTTGTTTGAAGTTCTAGAATGGTTTCTGTTACACACCAGGTTCCTTTAGGTGTTGCAAACCAGGAAAAAAAGACTAATTAGACTCCACTTTGAGGGATAGAGTTAAAATGTGTTGACCACTTAAGTCCTAAGTTTTATTTGTTGGCTAGCTGCAGTTTGTTAGCTAAGTCTCATGACTGCCTGGACAGCCTTTATAGATTTTCATCTATAAATGTATTATCAAGGTGGGCTTATAACTGGACTTCTTTTAAAGAAGGCCTTTTAACCCCCCGGTGTTTAAGGGGCATGCAGTATTTGAAACTTCACTGAAATCAGCTGTCTGTCACAGACCTTGGCATCCCACTCAGAGGCCACAGGGGCGATTGAAGTATTCTTGACCTGAAGGTTCCGTGTTCCCTATAAAGCAAATACCAGGCAGAGGTCTACAGTTTGGGAGAGACATATTAAAGTTGGGGTTCTTCATATTTCAAAGATTCCAGAGCCACCTTTATGGTACCATGGGTGCTCGCTCTCTAGCTCAACAGAAGAGGCACAACTAGCAGTCATTTGCTGTTTTAAGGCATTCTCTGCTAGACTTTTAAAGGCTGTGCATCAGCAATCACTTCAGGTGCATTTACTTGTCATGGCTT